CTGGGAATTGGAAGGAGCCAGTATCTACCAGGGGCAAGCCTAACCAAGCTTGATGCGGGGGTATTTGAAAGTGCAACTAAGCAAAGCTTGGAAATGCAGATTTAGTCAGTGCAAGTCTTGTTGCCTGATTTTCATTTGATACTGCCTTTATTTCTTTCTTTTCATAGCTAAATGTCACTTCCAGTATTTTTTAACCTCTGAAGGTTACTACAGGAGCTTAGAGCATAAAAGGATGTATGATTAGATGTATGGTGCAGGGATGACGTAATTTTTTGTTCTAGTTCTTAGTCCCAGGCGCCATGCTATGCCTCTTACAGATTCTAGGATAAAATAGGAACTCAGAGGTAGCCTATGCTACTGCTGTGGTTATTATACAGAATGTTTTTTCTTCTTCTCACACTTAATAGGAGGGAAACGTTCAGTCAGCCTAGCCAGCTCCATGCTTATAACATTTGAAAAAATTCAACCTTGAAAAGTCCATACTCAAAAAAATTTTCCCAATCAGAAGTCAGAGGCTGAGGTTTCAGCATGTGTGTTTGTCACTGTGGCTAGAATACCAGGTGATTCAGAAGGCATTTCAGTCAGGCAGCTGTTAATTATTTCCACAGTCAGTCAGGGAGAAGGTAAGAAGAAGGGCGGATTTCCACACCAGGGACCTCACAGTCAACTCAAAAGATAGGGGTCAGAGTAAAGGCAGGTGCTCGAGCCAGACTTCATGCCCTTAGACGTGAAGCCTGAGAAAGCTTGAGATGGATGGGATCTGCGGGGTCATCTGGTTCTTCAAAGCAAAGAGGAGCAGGCAGGGAGCGGGCTCAGCGCTAGGTAAGCAATGGCGAGGAAGTGCCAACACTGGATGGTGAGCTTGAACGCTCCTGCACAGGTACTGGGCTTTGTGCCTGGCTGCATTCGTTCCCCCATTTGGAGGGACAGTGTCTTTGTTTTGGAATCTCATGGCGCCACTGCTTGGGGACACCTGTGCCACTTTGGCTCAAAACTGACAGCCAATCAAGGGCAGACTTTTTATCCATGTTTCTCTCAAGTGCATTGAGAAACCCAAAGATGGAAAATGGACATTTAACTACTCTAACCTTCCAGAAAAGTTGCGTGTTTTCTCATTCGGTTCTGTGGGGCCTGTTGAACTAATGAATCAAGTGTTGGAGTAAGGGGAACACTGAGATGAATTACATTCAAAAAGTAAAAAGGGGGTTCTATGCTCATTATTCAAAGTTGCTCCCCCAGGCTGGCCCCAGAAATGGCTATGTGATTCATGTGATTAAAAAGCAGTGATCGACACTACTAGTTTTCAAAAACAGTTCTCTAAAGGCTATGTTTACTGCAGAATCATTTATAAGAGCTAAAGAGTGTAATCAATCTAAATATTTCTCAATAGGGGACTGATTAGGTAAGCTTGGTGCACTCATAACAGAGTGTTATGTGGCTATTAAGGAGAGTAAGTTAAGCATTGTATTAAGGTGACATCATTGCTGAGAAATATTAAGTGAATAAAAACAAGGTACAGAGAATGGCTGAACCATGTAAGTCACAAAAGAAGGACATCCTCATCCTCATGAGGACGGGTGCAAAATTTCTCTGGTTGCTTTAGGGGAAGAGAGTGAAGAGCTTTTAAAACAGGCTCCGTGGAAATTTTTCCTAAATATTCATATTGGATTAAACGTGTTTTGGCCATATACATGAATTACCTATTTAAAATACATGTTTAAATAATTTAAAACAAATAATGGCTTTCTATAATGGCCTTTCTTGTACACAGCACCTGCACTCTATCCCTCACTCTGAGGCATCTCTCTCTCTCCCTCTCTCTCTCTCTGTCTCTCTCTCCCTCACACACACACACACACACACACACACACACACACCCGTGCGCACACGCGCCTTTTCTTTGTTCACTTAACTGTTGATGGACATCTAGGTTGATTCCATATCTTGGATATTGTGAATAATGCTTCAGTGAATGAGGGGGGTGCAGCTATCTCTGACACTTGTTCACATACCTCACCTTGAATTGCTAACATCAATCTCTTTTTCTTACTGTGGCTTTAAGAAAGATTTCAAAGTCAATGGTGCTCTGAGTCCTGGAGTCCCAGAATGGTCAGTCTGTGGTGGGTGTAGGGGCTAGTGAGTTACAAAGCTTTACAACCACTCTAAAGCTCTGGGAAGGGTTGTAGGAATTTTAAAAACTTAGACAAAACCTTGATTTACAGAAGAGGTAATGTCTCTGGAAATAGAAAAGGCAAGTAAATATCTTTAATGGAAAGAAAACAACCCTGTTCATCCAGTGTGTTTTACAGCAAAACAAACTGGCAAACCACTACAGAATCTGTCCATGGATGGATTAAAATTGATAGAATTTAGAATAAAGTCACATTTCTATGTGTAGCCTGATTGATTTTCATGATCTCGTGGGGCCTTAGGCTGCTTCCTAAGGGAAGTAAAATTTTAGGATACAAAAGACAAACATGATACTGCAGATTGGGTAAGAAGATTAGGAAGAGAATAGAAGCCTTAGAGACTCGACTCTTCAGGGACTTTCAAATCCCATTCCTTCATGAAAGATTGTCTATATAATCTGCTTAATTTTTTACCCCCCAAATATACACATTGTAATGTAAATGCATTAGGCACTCACTATATGTCGATGGGCAAAAACTGCCACCCAAGCCAGAATTTCTCCCTTCCACAGTGAGTTTACAGTCTAGATAAAGGGCAGGTGGACAATATTTTATGTAAACCAGCGACATATACTAATTGCCTGTGTTAACAGCAGATCTCTTATTTTGTTGGTATACTTTCTCCCCGTGTTCTTCCCCTCACACTTCACCTTTCCTTTCTGTAGGAGTCCAGGGCCTCCTAGGCAGGCCCAGGGCACCCAGAAGGGCCTGTCCTCTGCCTGTCCACAGGCAGTGGTGTGATTTCAGCCCTGCTGTATAAAGTGTGTGACTCTCCCTGGCCCTGCGATTAACCTTCTAGAAATTGATGAAGGACTTAACCTTATGTGTACAGAAAGACTTCTGTGCACAAGAATGTTCTGGTACAATTTAAAATAGTGATAATATAACTAGAAAAATATTCTTTAGTAAGGGATTGAATAAATACATTACCACTTATTCCTGAGATGCAATGCTAATTAACAGTAAAAAATAATGTTCATACACACTGCAATGGAAGGTTGTCTGAAACGTACTGTTGAGCTTGAAAAGCAGGTTATGAAATAATTTGTATAAAACAAACACCCTGGGATAGAACTTCATGTCACTATGAGTTTGTGAGTTTACACATATCATAAATGTCTGTTACATATAGATGCACACATGTGTTTCAGATTTACTTTGTAATATAACTCCTCCTGGAGTTATTACCCATATACAAACATATGTACTGTGCCCCAGTCATCAGTGCACTGATGAACTTGAAGAATATAAAAGTCTAACATTGCACCTCCTATAGCTAGCTATTTATAAATGCAGCAGAAAATTTCAAGGCCGAATTCAAGAACTATTTCGGATTTTTGAGTCAGATCAGTAAGAGAGATGGGGGGGTGGGCAGAAAAGACTTTTGGCCCCGATTAAATCCCTTCCTATAATTGTCGAAATGGGTGGCCAGCTCACAGTTGATTTTTAAAACCGAGTGGAGGAGGCATCGTGAAGAAATAAATGTTAGCCTTCTGTGGCTACACAAAGCAATTACCTTATCTACTTTCAAGGAGCTTAGTCAATGCACGGAAGAATAAATTTGAGAGTCACTTTAATGGAATGAACTCCTACATGTAATTTTCTGGCATCAATTCAAATTCTTTAGCTAAGAGAACTAATATTTAACTTTCCTTTTCCCGCTGACTCCTTTCTAGACAGGTGGAAGTTTTCATTAAGCACTCAGTATCTGTGGAGTTGTGTCTGTCTTTGTGAAGATTCCATACAAATTGGAAAGTCAAATTAGCAATGCATATTTAATGCTGCTTTGTAGTTGTTTTTCTGAAAGTTAGCTGCAATGTTTACTCTTTGAGGGGGAGTTTATAATTATGCAAATTGGAGAAACACTCTGCATATGGTATAATGATAATGCCTTGGGACTTATTTCCAGAGTCAAAAGTAGTTCTACATATAGTATTTCTTTAATTTTACCCACGAGGGAAGGTTAGCCAGGATGGGGAGTCTCCTTTTTAAGCAGTGATGGAGCATATGAGATTTTGGAACTTGGGTACATACATGAGCTGCATTTTAGAGGAAGCCCTGCTGAGATTTGCATAATATTACTGTAGAGCACATGCTATTACCTTCACAATAAATATTCATCATTTTTTTCCTAACAAGTCCAGTTTTGCCCACACAGTCACTTCCTCATATGAAACCATGTACTTCAGGGGAGGTAGGTCCCTCCCTGGGAGGCTAATGATTGGTGTAATCACAGTAGATTAGGGTCAGAGTCAGCGTCCCATACATAGTATCTTGTCACAAGGGCACGTGACACATTTTGGCAAATGTATGTGAGTAGATGTTTGTTGAGAGCCTTTCCAGAAAGGTTGATAGAGAGAGAGAGAGAGATGGGAAAGAGATATCCTTCCAAAGATGTTGGAATTCAAGTCTTGGTGACATCACTGACCAACTCAGTAACCATCCATGGACCCGCCCTACTTTAGAAAGGCTTGTTATGAGAGTGAACAACTTTTAAAAAATTATTAAGTCACTTTGAGTGTCCATTCTGTTTCTTGCAGCCAAGAACACATCTTAAGTGATATATATCTTGATAGTTCCTATATTGTGTTGGAGAATATACATATATATATTATATATATGTGTATATATATATATTATATAATATATACAGTATAATAGAGAAAAATTAAGCCAGATACTTAGCATCTTATTTACCAGTGAAGTCAGCTGATATCTGCTTGATTGGAGAAAGGAACTATAGTTTAATATTTTGGCCTTGGTGAGGAATCCATATCCTACAACTGAAGAGTAATAACAAATGCTACTCACCATTCACAATCTTGTTCTCACTGGAAATAAGAACCAGTCAGTCTTGAGCCTCCTGTCAAAGAAAGCCTGAAAGACAGAAGAGAGACAATAAATATAAAGTATACCATCTCATTTTGGCATCAGGCAGCAATTAAGCATTTTCCTCCTTCTGTTCCAGCTGATGACTCCAGCTTTAAATAAACTTCATAGGGCAGGCTGGACATTTTCCCAGGAAGTTGTTTTGATAGGAATAGTTCATTCCAACCAGGCAATCAGGTCTACTATTTTATCAGTCACCATCCAGAATGCAAATTATGTTTCACTGAGCCCCCAAATAAATGCCTCATTGCTCCAAGGAATGCAAAATTGTCTGGTCACTCAGTTATGTTTCATCTTCTTTGCTATATTGACTGGTTGGGTATGAGCCTGCAACTTGATTTAGACCAATAAAAGTCTGCTTTGAAAATGCAGGGAAAGAGAAGATCTCTTTTTACTGTGTGCCTGGTGTGGATGAATTCCTGGAAGGGGCTAGCAGCCCACAGTGGTGGTGAGATGGCAGAGAGGGTCCAGACTGCGACTCTGAGTTAAAAGTCCCCAGACCTGACACTACGCGGGTTCCCTAGATGCAGCTATGATTGAAATGCTTGAACTGTTTGGTGGTATGAATAGTCATACACATTTTTACATAGAGTTTTGTCTCTTCCCTTCAAAAGTTCTTGTCTATATAGGAGATAGAGCAAATATGCTAGTTCTCACACTGCAGAGTACAAAATGGAAGCTCAGAGAGGTCAGAGCGGGGAGGTCCAGGGCCCTGTTGAAGGGTACCTTCCAACAAATTCTGCTTTCTACTCATTCATTGATTTATTACAGTACAATAACGAGTTGACAAACCAAATGCTATCTGCACCGACTTTAAACATTTTTCCTTGGCAGAAAACAATCCTCTTTACAGGGTTACTAAGGGAGATAATCTATGTTGTTTTAACAAGGTGAAGACTGTACAGATCTGTGTGCACACTCACACACACATACTAAAAGGCTATACTAGGTGCTTTTGGACTGAGCAGAACTCCCGAAGGATGTATTCGGCTGAAGCTGGCTCTGGGTGCAGCCCTCTCTCCCCAGGTGACTGCTGCCCCGAGCCTACAGAAAGCTTTGAGCTCCTTAATCTCATTCCTAACTCGGTCGTCTCCAGGCCAGGCCTCTCTGTGCTGAATGGAGCCTGAACTGATCACAAACAAGTCCTCTAGACAGCTGACTTATCTGCCCAGGGCCCAGGCCACTCTCAAGGGGTCACTAAGCCATGGTCACGATCCTTGCATTTGCATGTGTTTATCTGACTCACTTTTTAAAAAAATGGAGCTCTATTGAAACACTGAAAAAATTTACGTGAAAATTAGATTTCAGACCTTATCAGAAAAACTGAGGAGGGCTGTCAACATTGTCTACACTCCCACACGGCAGTGGAGGGCGAGGATGAGCAGTGTCAACACCCTTTAAGCAGCGCACATTTCCTGCCTGTGCCACGTTTGCCAGCTGGCTTCTTCTACACTTCTGCCCCCTACCTGGCTGTGTAAGCATATGCGATTTCAGCCGCTGCCCTAACTCTCCTACCACTTACTGGGGTTAACTCAGCTGAGGTGCCACCTTGCCCTCAAGTGGCTGTGTCTGGAAGCAGCCTGTGTTTAACTAGGTTCCCACCTCAGCCTCCAGTCCCTCCATATAGAAAATGGGACCATTGTGCAACTTTATTTTATTTTCTCATCCTTGCTGTGTTCTCTGAATTCTCTGCAGAAAATAGAAATTCATTTAAATCAGAAAAAACGGTTTAAAAATGCTCTTGTGAAAATGAAACTGCCTTCTGTCTTTCTAGGGACAGGACTGGAGAGTCTTGTGGCATAATCAATGAGGCGATGGAAGAGACTATTTTGTGATGTTTTATTAGTTACTTTCTTCTCTTGACTTGAGTGTCCCTATGTTTCAAAGAAGGACATTGTACCAGGTCAGAAGTTATAAACCAGTAACCCACAGGACATATCCAAAAAATAGGTGGCCTGTGTATCTGCCTGCCTGCCCCCGCCCGCCCTCCCTCCCTCCCTCCCTCCTTCCTTCCAATTA